TCCTTAGCAATAAGTCTGGCAGATTTGAAGATAGAAAGTTTAATAGAACTTTATTGAAACATGTATCGCAAATACGCAATGCTTCTACGTTTCTAAAAGCCTAAATCTATAAGGAATCATCAACCTCAGTAATAAGGTGCTGGAATACGAAACCGATTTTCTGCTTAACAATCCCGTAAATCTCCTGTCTTTCTATGCCTGCAGGAAATGATTATCACAAATGTTGTTAGTCAATCCGTAGAGATACGCGGTTGAGTGTGCTTTTATATTATGCTCAGTTCACATAGAATATCCAAAGATTTGCTTGAGATGTGGTCATTTTGTCCGTGGATTCTATTCTAATGTATAGGAAGTATGAAGATCAGAATAATGGGTGATGCTTTCTGCTTGTCCGGAACCAAAAAGGATTCAGTTTCTGAAAAGATTTAAATACACAACAGCCACTGAACATTTTTAAAAACATATGGCCTGCAATCCAAACAAACCGATGTTATTGGTGGTCTGTCTATATTTCAGAGATGAGGTATTATGTACATTATTTACATTATTCGGACTATTTATTACAACGTTTCGGCTGTTGTACACTCCGGCCTTCTTCGGGTGGTTGGAATGTCGAACTGAACATTATATTTCGCTCATTGGGGTAGATTGTTCTTGTTCCACGTGCCATGTTTAATGGATGTCAGTTAACAGTTATCTCCTGTTAATTTCCCTCTGAATGTTCTCCACTGCCCTAGCCGGGTATTGAACTCACACTCTCTGGGTCCTGTCATTGGATCTAACTTATAATATATCAACTGTGCCATCCTCAAGGACGCATGGCACAGTGGATAAAGGTGTTAGATCAAATGACAGGGCTCATCTTTGTCACCATATATATCATAACGTTTCGGCCGTTGTACGATCCGGTCTTCTTCAGGTGATTGGAATATCTAACTGAACCCTTTTTTTTCACTCACTGTAGACTGTTCTAGTTCCACGCGCCATATCTAATGGATGTCCGTCATAAGTTATATCCTGTTAATTTCCCTCTCCAATTTCTCCACAGCCTTAACCAGGTATTGAACTCACACTCAAAGGTTTCAGTTGGACATTCCAACCACCTGAAGAAGGCCGGAGCGTAAACGGCCGAAACGTTGTGATAAATATGGCGACTAAGTTGAGGACAATAGTTCGAATAATGTAAATAGTGTATATAATAGCTCATCTCAGAAATATAGACAGATTTCTGACTATGTGGAAAAGTAATATATAATTTAGAAAATCCAGAAAATAAACTGAGTCAGTTTATACTGAGACAGATTTAGTTTTATAATTAAAATAATGAATTATTAACACATATATTTAAAATGATTAATCCGTTGTTTTCATGTTTGTTGTTTTCAAGAAGCAAATTCAAGTAGATCAAAACAGATTGACATGCCATGTATAATGATGCACTTGTACACCCTCATTTGCAATGCAGTCAGTTTAAAAGATTCCTAACTTTTAATGTTTATACGTGTTTGTTTTTAAGGAGGTGGATATTTCGACGAATGCACGAATTCATAGACAAGGAAATTATAATTTTCTCTCATGACCCCAGAAATTCTATATTTCATGTTTCCTTTCGTGATGAAAGATTCCGATCCGCTACCAGTCAGCCGCAAATAGCATGGATGATTCTTAATCTTATGATGAAAACCTGAGTACCTTGACGTACATACGCATGCAGAATCTGCGCACACACACACACACACACACACACACACATATATATATATATATATATATATATATATATATATATATATTGTTGGTAAATAATCCAAGTGCATCCTAGTAATATGAAACATTAAAACTGATCCACAAAAAGACCTCAATGTATTTATTATTACAGAGCAAATAATCACTACACAATAAAATCCAGAATTACTTCATATGGAAAACATCATCAGTCTGTCTTACTCAACCCCGGTATAGGCTGAGTTTACAAATTTATCTCTGACAGCTGCTACAAAAAAATTCCAAAAACTAATACAGAATTCGATTTCAATGTTTCAGTCAGACCAAAGACACTAGTCAGTGGGAGATGAAGGTGGAAAGTATTATTCTTAAAGGGAAGAATATTTATAAAATTAAACACGGATATTAACCTTATCACATTAAATTGGGGTTATATGGAAAGGATCAAAAAAGGATTAAAAAATAAACCTTAAATTACATCGATAATGTTATGTTTAAAAATGTAAAATCATACTTAAAATACTCATTCAAAGTCAAGTAATATTTAAAAAAAAGATATATTTAAATAAATTTAAAATAAGTCATATTTAGATAATTTATATTAAAATTAAGTAAAATTATATGCTAAAATATATTTAATATAAAATCAATAGGTTACATTAAAAGAATAAAATATATTTAAAAATAAAAATATAAGATAAAATAAATTATACATTTAGAAATAAAAAGGAAATAAATAGATATAACTTTAAACATAAGTTAAATAAAAAACAAGTTATATTTAGAAAGTATGTAGTTAAAAATACATAAAAATACAAAGTTATATTAAAAATAATAAAATATATAGGTAAAGAGATGTAAGTGATAAAAGAAAAGAGAGCTCTTAGAACAGGAGACAATTATAAAATACAATTAATGTGGTGTAAAATGGAAATATAGAAATTAGAATTAGTTATACATTCAACATTTGAAGATTTAGAGAAATGTAGTAGCTAATAAAGTAACATCTATATTATGGAAATTTGAATTTGTTTTTATGTCGACATTTTAATACTAATTCATTCATCTGAGTCAATAGTTGGCTTTGATTATTCTATTTTATTATTCTAATTTTTCTTTTAAATATAAGTTACAGCTATCTCTCAGACTATTAGGAGTATGTGAGGTACCTATAATTATCCAATCTATCTGTGGGCTCAAACCTTTCTCCTTTAATTCCCAAAGTTTCTTAAAAATGCTCTCGGGTGTTTTACTTTAGGGTTGGTAAAAGAGTTTCATATATATATATATATATATATATATATATATATATAGTTATTAAAAATAAACAATTTCATGACGTATTGCTTCAGATCACAAGGAATTATTCAGTGACCATTTCAAAGAGGAATTTTCTAAGTTTTGAATAGCTGCCAGAGGGGGCGCTGTAGTCACCTCGTATATCCGGCAACGTTCAGTTGTTTGTTTACCCAAGGAATGTCGACTCCTCAGCTAAAGGCGTTCTGCGTTCTCGAGTTCGCGAAAACAAATACGGTTGTCACGGTGCAATCTGCTTTTCGATGGCAATTCGACATTAATCCGCCATCTCCTAAGAACATTCGACGGTGGTTTAAACAATTTCAAGTGGGTGTCTGTGTAAGGATAAAAGTTTAGGACTACCACGAGTTCAGTAGGAACGAGAAAAGTGACGAGAATCCGTGCTGCATTTGATGGTAGTCCTCTGAAGTTCACCAATCGAGCTAACCGTGAACTATCTGGCGTATGCTAAGACGTCTACATTTGAATCCCTACTGACTACACCTTGTCCAGGCACTTAGTAAGACCTTGCTTGCTATGCCTTGCCTGCGAGATCCCTAGATCTCGCCGTGTGTGATTTTTTCATGTGGAAATACTTAAAAGATCGCGTTTATATTCCACCGCTATCTACTTAAACATCGAATAACAACAACGGTCAACTCAGTGGATCGTGATGTTCTGATACGCCTCTGGGAGCAATTATTTTATTGCATTAATGTTGCCCCTGCTTGAAGTGGTGGCCACATTGAACACTTGCAACACAGGAAAAGTTGATTGTGTGAAGAATACTTGTGTCATGGCTAGAGTTTTCATTTGCTTTCTCTTATTAAAATATTGCGTAATGAAGCCTATGTATTCCTTTTGAATAACCCTGTATACATATCTTAGGAAAGAAAGACGACGCACACAAATACGAAGAAACTATTAGCATAGAACTTACGGTTATCTCTAGCAATTTCTACAGTAAAATTATGCGACGTAACTGCCAATGTTAGTACTACACTAAAGTTAGTGATGTCAACGAAAGCTCATCACAGCAATTACTATGAATATATTTATAGAAAAGGCAAGGGCTACCTACATCAGGGTAGCGGCAAAGTGACCGAGGCCGAGATGTCATGTCAGGACCGAACTATTTGCATATTGTTATTTGCATTCTATCCGTAATCTCTAGATATATGACAGAAGCACCAGAGTAGATGTTACAGCAATATTTGAGACATGGACAATGCTTGTCTTATAAATGTACAATATGGTTCTAATTCGAAAAATTGACTCGACGTAATAACCCAGAATTCCTAGCAATAAACGGAGCTAATGATTTTTATAATCCTTCCACTTCATGCCAGTGAAAGATGTGAAACAAAAGGAGCAATGAATTGCACTCCCGGAGGTTAGCATCAGCCATACTAATCGAAGGAAAAAAAAATTCAAATATGATTAATAAGGGAACAGTTTTCATTTTAGAAGCGTTAAGAGCAATTTTCTTGCTCCAGTAACCAACAGATTTAAGGTCATTTGCAAGATCCCCTATTAATTTGATGTTATTGATCTATCAGACTTACCGATATGAAAGGAGTAAATAGATAACTGATCTGGAACTGTTGACATTGAGAATTTCGTTGATGAAAATCAGGAAGAAAATATGTCGAAGCATCATGCCCGGGGGGGGGGAACTCATATTAATGCAAAAAGGTCTAGGAGTGTTAAGGGAGCAGATGATTTTAATTACGTGATTTAATAGGAAAACTGAATCAAATAAAAAAAAATCGGCCAAGAGCCCCATAACCCTTCAACTTGTGGATAACCCCCTTGTTAAACCCTAGCGAATGCGTTCAGACCGTTTAACCCGTTCAAATTGAGTTTGTTCCTTAATTTCCTTTTGGAAGAGTTGTATGCTCGAAATAAAAGGAGAGAAAAATGCCTTCTGAATTCTGCGTTAAATGCAATAACTTCCTTGGAAATGCTTATTCGCCACTTTATAGATACACGATCAGGGAGACAGCGATTATTGAAAAGTGTATCGCTCTACAATTAAACGTTTTCTCTTAAAATGAGAAAGTAGACTTAAGCTATATCACAGATATAACTTACGAAAGTCTCATTAACTTCACTTGCCAATTTTACTACTTGAACAAATGATCGCCTAAGAGTTTATAATCATTCAGTAATCATTTCGAGCAGATGTTCGGATCTGTAGAGACAATCTAATCCGCTACAGTATAGGTTCTTCATAGAATGACAAAAAATTAAATATCAAAGAATACATTTTGATTACCTTTCACTTTATAATCTAATACAATATTTTTCTTGATCGAGGTTATCAATATCATATTTTACAGTAATCATTCCTTGGATCACAATGTAATTAAAATGCATAGAGACTTCTTGATTTAACTTATCATCAGTTTTGCCGAAGATGATACCCAGTGTTCGCAGATCGAACCCAGGTAAAAATTGGAATTTTCGATGGTGGTTTTCCAAACAGCTAAAGATGTTCTGACTTCAGAGTTATTTCAGCAGTAGTCTTCCATTTTGGCATTGTGTCAATCGATATCAGTTCAATGTGGGAACTAAAAAATACACACGTACATATATAGTTAAATTTTGTAATAGCCACCATACATAAATATATACATTCATATATATATATATATATATATATATATATATATATATGGTATCCGTGAAATGACGAGGATAAAAGTATCTTAGTGCTCTATTAAAAATTGAACAGAAGAATAGATAGTACGTTGTGTAAAATTGTTTACGGAACAGCGTTTAAAATTTATAATTCATTCAATAAAAATTTTGAAAGGAGCCCTTCGTAGTTCGTCCAAAATATTTTGACACTTAACCTTGCACACGCAAACACCTACGTATCTACTCATATATATATATATATATATATATATATATATATATATATATATATATATATATATATATATATATATATATATATATAAAAACAATGAACATTGAAGACAACTCTCAGAAGCGACAGGCTGTTTCATTCTAGGCGCAATCGTCAGGCCGCGAATGTTGGGTATTTCCTCGGCTATTTATATATACGGGTCAGTGGTGCATTGTGGTTAATCTATTCTGGCGGTTATTTATGCGTGAGTGGCTTGTTACGTAATTTATTTACTTGTTTGGGTTAATTTATTTGTTTTTCATTTTGTATTATTTATTCCTTTCGGTTTTTGATGTTGTATTAAAGTAGAAATAAAATGCTGGGGATTTGCTTAGGTCGCTTACTTAATAGTTTGTTTGGTCTGGGAAAATCATTAAAACTATTTATTCGTTCAATGTTTAGATTGCTTACCTTAGTCGATTCTGTTATTTTAGCGAGGGAACAGTTTTTAAATAATTTATATATTTGGATGTATTTTTATTTGTTTGCTTATTTATGCGTATTTTTATTAGTTCTAACAATTATTTGACGATTTGTTAATTTGTTAATTTATATATTTACTTGTATTAATATTAATTTGTTTTTTATTTATTTACTTATTATATATATATATATATATATATATATATATATATATATATATATATATATATATAATAAGTAAATAAATAATATATACATATGTTCAGATATACAGTGTTAAATATAACAGACAACAAATTATGTTTTATCAAGAGCAGTTCATGATGTCATCTTTGATGGTGAACATCTCTGTTGTAATGTCCATATAACCACTTTGATGATGGCTCATGTGAGCCGAAAGCTTAGATCGATGACAAATGTAATAAAGAAATATCCAGATGCTAAACAAACAGTTTTTTTTTTATTTTATCTTTAAACTAAAGCCATTATACGACGCTTGGAACGGCTCATGATCAAACATAATAGTCATTCGTAGTCTGTTATATTTAGCAATATATGTCTGAATAATGATTTGATGACCTATACACTATATATACATACATATATCTACATATGTGTGTGTATGCATGCGTGTGTACATACGTCGACAGAAGCCGACCTATAGTCGTAACAATGAATTTCATGTAGATTCAGAAATCCTCAGACTATTTTAATCAAGTGGAACCCGCCTTTAGCCACATAATCAAATAACAATATTACAGGGTAAACAAAATAACAAAGAATAAGCCATACAAAGACAGTCGCCTTAATATGTTAAAATGTAAATAAACAATAAATAAATAAAAAAAAAAACATCCGTATACAATTTAGCATTGATAAGTTAGGTTCCTTTACATTTTATGCCTTTGTATACTCGAAATTTTGTTTCGTTTTCCGTTTTTTCCGGTGTTTTATGAAAATCTCGTTGAAAACACCGGTTCTCACCTGTCAACCTGTTCTCACCCAATCCCCGGTGTTAAAAAACTCCGATCAGTAATTAGATGTGCAATCGCTTGGCTATATCGGGTACTGTAAGCAAGCTCCAACAATCCAAAGTATATTTCTAATTTAAATCAAACATAAATAGCTGTTGAGGTAGGAATTATCCATCCATCAAATTTAGTCAAAGATCAACGAATGTTCTTTGTTGATGATAGACGTTTTTTCTTCTATACTTCATACCTTTTTTTCTGGCCTCCAGTAGAAGTTTCAAAATAAATTGTCGAATGTCTAATGCGTAAAAACACGTGAAGGTGGTCTGCTTAAACAAATAAAAGGGAAAAACAGTTACCACGCATAAAGACGCATTTGTTGCATAATAATCTAGCTGACATAGCACAAAAAACAAATTCGTTTTTTAAATGGCTTATAAAGTTACTCAGACATTAGATAATATACTTTTAAACTTACACCGGAAACCACGGCAATCATCTGAAATATAGGCTAATTATAAAAAACAAAAAGCAACAAAACAGAGAACTTCCGATTGTCATTATCTAGGCATATATATATATATATATATATATATATATATATATATATATATATATATATATATATATATAATTATTATAATTTTTTTTTTATATAGACTAAAACAATTTACTCACTACAAAGATGCAAACTCGTTTCGGTTGGACCTCAACTTGTGAGAAGAAAAATTTTTGTTCTCAGCAGTCGAAGTGCACCGAAATGAAATTGCATCTTTCTAGTCAATAAATTGTTTTTGGCTGTATGAAAAATTATAATTACGGATTTGTTCTTAGTAATTTCTATCGAACTCTTTCTCATGATTGGGTATAGCCGCAAGGCAATGTAGGTTTAGTTTCAGAATGTTGCTTCTCTTAGATGGTTTACACTTCCAAGCTGACGAATTCCATGTACCCGATATATATATATATATATATATATATATATATATATATATATCAATCAACACAACGGCTAAACATATATTCTTTTACAATGGATATCTGTGTAAACAGTCACCAAATCTATCACTTTTTTATTTATTATTTATTTATTGATTCATATATATATATATATATATATATATATATATATATAAGCTAGGTTTGTGTGTGTCTTTCAGATTTCATATTCCGTATAAATGCAAATATATGTTAAATCATTTTTTTCCATAATTACTGTTTCTTTTTAAAGGTTTATCTCTCGCTTTCTTTTCATGGCGTGCACATTATATAAAATCTGACTCCTGCATAACAGGAGCGACTTCCCGTACGTGATTTTATCAGCCATATTTTACGGAAATTTCCAACTTTCTTTAATTACCGCTATTTTTGCTGTTATACAAAAGCCCAGCTAATGGTAACTTTGCCCTTCATAAATGTCGTTCACTGTGTCTGAGCATTGGGATTCAATGAGGAATTTTCGCCGAATTCCAGTGACGTTCATGAACCAATTCTGTTTAATTTTATTTTTTTTATTCAATTATCCCCAAGCAAGGCGATAATGCCAATAAGAATCAAGGGGAGTGGGACTACCGGGCGAGAATGATAATGGGAGGTCTTCAGAAAAGACAGGATATCCAATTTTAAACAGAAAACAAAATGATAAAAATCTACTTCTATTGCCGATGAGTCACTTTAATATTCTTAACAATACAAATCTAAAAATCAACCATTCACCTTTGCATGGAGTATTGCTGCCATATATGGTCTGGAGCCCCTTCTGTTTCTCTCAAGGTTCTTGATAAAATACAGAGACGGATATGCAATGTAATTGGCCCTGATCTGGCATCTTGTCTGCTGTCGTTCTCGCACAGACGTGTCGTCTCCTCCTTATGTCTTTTTTACAAATACTTTCATGGTAACTGCTCCGATGGGCTGCTTTCGCTGATTCCCAGACTCCATGAATTTAAGCATTCTACTAGGCTATCAACTATCTCTCTCAAACTTTCACTGTCGAAACTGTTAAATGTAGCCGTTTCTGCTACTCCAATAGCTTCATGTATCGCACCTCTCGCCTGTGGAAGTCCTTCCCCTTTTCCTGTTTCCTTGATAGCTATAATCTTCAACTATTCAAATGTAATGTCAATCGAAGTCTCCAAATGCCTTGATCTATCCCCAATCATTCTCTCCATCCTTTCCTCTCTCACTCCTATTTGCTTTCACTCTCACTCTCTGTAATCCCTTGCGTGCTAACTAGTGGAATTCCCGGCTTGCTTGGAGGTGAAATGCTTAAAAAAAACATGAGGAATTCATCTTCCATCCACATTAATTACTCGCTTGAAATATTCAGCCAGAGCATTGTAACATATCTGCCGCCCATGTATATATATATATATATATATATATATATATATATATATATATAGTGGACACTGAAATCAGCATCGATCGGCAATAGTCTGTTTCATGATTGAACGCCATCCTCATGTGATTGCACAACACTAAGTCCTGCACATTGAGTCCAAACATGTAACAGACTGTCGCTCAGGCTGTTGACGTCTATGTACACTTTTATATTGACATTGGTGCTGTCCTTGAGATTGAGTAAATTTATCCATAAATCTAACATACCTTAAAATTATATTTTCACACACACACACGCATATATATATATATATATATATATATA